AGGCGGGGGGAGCCCCGGGGCTCCGTGCGGCTCCCACCTTCCCCGGGCTCCGCACTCGCGGCCCCGCCGCCGCCGCGGAGGGTAATATTCTAGGGAACACCCCACCGAGCCCTCCCCGCCACCCGCCAGCTGATTGGGCACCGCGGGCCCGTGATGTCATTAAAACCCCAACATTTCACACGCACACCCCCCGCGCAAAAACCTCAGAAACCCCCGGGGCGGGACGCGCAGCCACCGCGCAGCTCCGCTCCCGGGCGTGCCCGCGGCTCCACCGCCCCGGCGCAACACAATAGAGGCAGCCTCAGGGCTTTTCTGCTTTTTTTTCCCCTTAAAAAAAAAATAAAAAATTTAAAATTCCAAAATCACACTGTATTTTCGAGGTGATGGTAGTAGCGCGGATGCCTCCGCTTTGTTTCCGCGCTTTACCTCTTTTTTTTTTTTTTTTTTTATTTTTTTTTTTTTTCACGTAGGGTTGTTTTAAGAGAGGTCGCTGCGCCTTCCCAAATCCGCCCGGATTCCTCTGGGATGGGTGTGTGGACGTATAGATTTAATAAAGCGTGAAAGATATTACTCTAAGCGAGTTGTTCGAAACGATTGACTCCGCAACAATTCATCCTTCAGCCCGGAGTGGAATGCTTATTAATTGCCAATTACTGTATTTATTATCTGGAATGAGCCCGGGCTGGAGCCGCGGTATCAACAATAACATCGGCAATATGTGCAAATAAAAGCAATGCAAAGATATTTATATTATTCTTTTTTTTTTTTTTTTTTACTCACACCCGTTCTTTATTCCCTTCGCATCTTTTTCTTCCAAACTCTTTCTTTAAAAAAAAAAAAAAAAAATTAAAAAAAGGGAAAAAAAAGAAAGAAAAGTAAAAAAAAAAAAATCTTTTGCATGCCTTTGCGCTGCTTAACTTTATTTCAAACTTTAAATCCCGAGATTTCTTCGGTATTTGGTAGCTCGCTCCTGCCTGACGAACCAGGCGGTGTTTTCCCAAAAGCAGGGCTGCAGATTTCTTTCTCCAAGGGTGGGGGGAAAAAGGGAAAAAAAAAAAATAAAAAGCCCCCAGCCCTTACCCGGCCCGGAGCCCCATTGTCCCGGCCCCTCTATTTCTTTCTAAACCTGAAGCTACTTGAGCGAAGTGAGTGGAGCCGCGGAGGCTGGACCGAGGGATTTTAACTCTCTGCTCAGGAGGCTAATTTTGGGGAAACAGTTACCTCGGAAACCTTTCTGGGGGAAGGGAGGCTGCAGCTCCGCAGCGCACGCTGCTGCCTTCCCAGCCTCGTCTGTCTCCCACATGAAAATTCGCTTTTTAAAGTCTTCCTCTGCCGCTTTTGTGGTTCCAATGGCAGAATCTGGAGTAATTTGATAATAATAATTTGTTAAACTCTATGTACAATCAACCACAAATGAGCCCGATTTAGAAACAATCCCAGCGGAGGAGGAGGAGGAGGAGGAGGAAGCGCATTCCTGAGTATGCGTGTAAAAAAATTTAAAATAACTCCAACATCGCCTTTAATTTGGGAGCGGAGATCACCTGATTTGCCTTTACCTTCTCTCCGCCTGACGGGAGAGGAGCCTCCCGGTGCCAGTCTCCATTCTGCCGGGGGGGGGGAAGGCGCTGCCAGGGCTTTTTCCCCCTCCCCAGCACCCATGGGCGCCCACCCACCCACCCACCCTCCCCGCAAAGGCTCGGC